AAGCCCTTGGAAAACTTTCTTGTTTCTAGCATCCCAAATTTTCCAAAGAATAAGGAGGAGCATGAACGTACGAACTGAAGTGGGTAGCTGAGCGGGAATGGGGAGCTGAAAAGCTCACTGAAGGGCGCGACGGTAGGCTGAATGCCGGTGGCCCTCCAAATCGCACGAGCAGCTGGATAGGAGAAGAAAAGATGATCGCGGTCCTCCACCAAGTGATCACATCTCGGGCATACTTCAGTATCGAGGATGTTCTTTTTGTGCAGGTTGTGCCGAGTGTTGAGACGGTCAAGGCAAACCAACCAGCCAAAGATCATCACTTTTCTTGGCACCTTTGAGTCCCAGATGTCAGCGAGCATAGGCTCAGCAAGCTGGACCGAGAGGGCAGCATAGGCACCGCGAGTGGAGAAGGCCGCGCCATTGAGCAAGCGTCGAGTATCCGGTACCTGAGAGAGCAAACAATCCTGCAACAACGAGTTTAGGGAAGCAAGTTCTGCGATCGCAGTAGAGGTTAGCCGATTACGAAGAGCAAGTTCAAGCCCATCCTGCATAATAGTGGAAACCATGGCATGTTGGTTTGTGTGGTGAGAAAAAAGAGCGGGGTAGACTATAGCCAGAGGTTCCGGCTTTAGCCAACGATCTAGCCAATAGAAGGTGGAACAACCATTCCCAATAGTGCACTGTGAAATCTCTCTCAAACTATGAAGGTGTTTAAAAATGGTTTTGGCAAGGAAGGAATTGTTCTTTCCGTGGCCAATATGAAGGGGGGAATGGTGTAGGACCCAATCTTTCCAAGGGAGGTTAGAAGAGTGTAAAAACTTGTAAGCAAATTTCAGCAGTAAGCAAAAGTTTTGTGCGCGAAGGTTTTTAACACCCAGACCACCTGCAACTCTAGGGGAACAGACTTTATCCCAGGCAACTAGGCATTCAGCCCCAGAGCAAGTGTCATCGTTGGACCAGAAAAAGGTACATCTACGCTTATCAATCGCCTCAATAACCTTGATGGGGAGTGAGAAGCACAGCATAAAGTAGGTAGGGAGGCTATCCAGGACCGCAGAAGGAAGAACAAGTTTACCTCCACGAGATAGGAGGAGCGCACACCACCCAGTAAGATAGGCATCACACCGGTCTATAACCGGTTGGAAGGCAGACGTAGAGAGCTTATGGGGAGAGAGTGGAAGGCCGAGGTACGTTTGAGGGAATGAGGAGATGTTGCTCGCTAGATCTGAGGCCATAGCAGTGGCGTCTTCAGGGTCAACATTGAGAGGGATGAAGGTTGTCTTAGTGAAGTTAATCTGGAGGCCGGTGGCCTCAGCAAAACAATCCAGGATGGTCTTTAAATTCTTTGCCGCGTCAGGGGTGGCTTTGACTATGATGAGCGTGTCGTCAGCATACTGGAGAACCGGGCAGGGAAGGTTAGGGCAAAGGGGGTGCAGAAGTTCACCTTCGCAGAAGGCTTTTAGGATCATTTGTTGTAGGATATCAGCAACAATGATGAACAATACGGAGATAGAAGGTCACCTTGCCGGAGGCCATTCTTGCATTGGATCCATCTTCCGGGGATGCCATTGAGCATCACTGCAGTAGACCCAGTGGTAAGCAATGATTCAATCCAATCACACCACCGAGGGGGGAACCCTCTGACCCGCAAGATGTGTAGGAGGGAGGACCAGCAAACAGAGTCAAAAGCTTTCCTAAAGTCAAGCTTGACAATGAGGGAAGGGGCTTTTCTCTTTGCACAGCAATGAAGTACCATACGACTTGTGGCTGCTGAAAACTTTCGGTATAAATAGGCCGGCATTTTGGTTCAAGGGCGGCCACAAAGCAAGCAAGCAGCTAGCATTTCCTGCAAAGATTAGAACAGAAAGAGATCTCCAGGCACGCGACGATATGGTAGGAGTATCAGCCTACTGCCTATCTAGCTTTCTACTTCCTTTGTTTTGTAGACTAATATATGATGTTTTAGATCACTAGTGAAGATTGATTACTTTATTATTGTATAGATAACCTAACACAATATCTATGCGGACTAGTAACCGTCTTAGACTCGAGACGAAAAGATCCCGAAACCTATGCGGACATGACTAAATTGCTCAACAAGTAAGTTCAATCGATCATTATCGCACCATATCGGCAATTTTTTGTTCATTTCCTGATATCTCAAGTAATAATAATTATTTTTTGTCTTGCAGGGTTTGGAAACAGTTCACCGCAGAAACTCCGGGACTGCCGAAGGAGCTGCGATATACATACCCGAAAGTAAGTACTACTGGCTAGCTAGTTGCGCGCATCTCCCGTTGATTCTATAGCTATACTTTCATAAATGTCATTTATAATGCTTCATTATCAGTTTGATTGACCTCTATTTCTGGTAAAGTGCTTGTGGCAGGAACAAGGGAATGATTTATGTGGATACTACGTGTTCGAGTTCATCTACAACGCGACTTTGAAAAATAAGCGGGGCTACTCTAAAAGACAATATAAAGTGCGTAAGCAATAATATTCACAATTTCATTTTGTTACACCATCATTTCTGTTGAGTTTCATTCATATATATGTATTAATTAACTCCCTTCTTCAAATTAGACGTGGCAGATGCGGAATGAACTCCTAGAACCAGATCGCATGAAAGCAATTCAAGAGGAATTGGCGGGATTCTTTCTTGACCACGTCATCAATAAAGCCGGAGAATACCATGTGGAAGTTGATTTCAATTGCTAGGGGATTGTAATTAAGAGATCTTACATATTGTATATGTATGTAGCCAGTAGCGTCGGATAGATAATACGAAAACTTGTTGTTCGACCAATCTCTTGGAGAAGGAGAGGTCGATCGATCACTTCTCTCGGTATGCATGACGAACTTCTGTACTTAGTGGTTCCTTTCATTTTCTTACTAGCTAGTGTGTCGAGGGCCTCTCTATGTATAGTACGTAGCGTCGACCAACCACAGACATAAGAGAGGACACTTCTCTCTATTAATTAGCTAGCTAACACAATATCT